GAGTGTTAATGACCCTTATCTGAAGACCTCCCACTTTCTTTCCTTTCTCCCTCTTCTAGTTTGGCAGGAAAATAAGACCTTTAAATGTCCACAGTAGAGCTATGGGTTTCTGCTTGAGAGTCCTTCTGCTCATTCCTTATTCCTCTTCATTTCCTTATTCACTCACTCATGCCCTTCACTTACCTGGTCTTACCTACATCTCTGAACTCAAGGCTGCTGCTTCGACTATTCACCTGGTGGCTTCTACTCCTGAACACCCAGCTCATGGATGATTCCTTCTGTGAAAGCTACCCTGAACACTCCAGGCAGTGATAAGTTGGAAAATTGTTCTCCGCATCTCTATTCTTCATACTGTGTCTGCAAAGTACATTGCCTATACCTCCGTGGTAGTACTTATTCTATTGTGCTGTTGCTTTGTGATTTGTTTGCTCTTCTGCACTGAGCATCCTGAGAATAAGGGCCAAAACTTATCCATGTGTCAATAAATATTTGCTGATTATGAGCACTGAGTTTGGTTACTTTCTCCGTTCACCCTCTCAGTACCCATTCATCCATCATGCTCTTATCTAGTGGTAGGTATGGAAAGACGGTATGGTCAGTGTTGTATCTTCCCCTAACACAGTGTATGAAATGCTGTTTATCAGCAGGATATGACTTATGAAAAGTCGTTTCTCTGAGAGGAAATAGCAGGTTGTGAAGAAGGAATCCCAGGCACAATGCAAGGAAGAGAGCATAAGTCTGAGAGTGGGCAGACATGGAAGACTGGGTGATGAAGGTGAGCAAGAGCCAGGCTGGGTTCTCTTCTGTGTGTGGTAATTCTGCCCCTCTCCACAGTGTGCCTCAATTCTCCACAGTGTCTCTCTCTAACTTTATAGGGATGTGCTACATTAGTTTACCTTTTCATGTGACCAGGTACCACACCACCCACACCACACTCACACCATCACACATCATGATTCTATGCCACAATGAAAGGGCACATTATGCATGGCTGTGTTAAGAAGACAGCTGTGGCTTAGTTGTCTGCTTAGCACACTTAGCTCTTTCCCCATTCTTATGGTCCTGGTGGGGCTATCAATCACATTGCCTTTCTCTACCCAAATTTCCCCAGATTACCCAATGGGACCAGATGACCCAATTGCCCAACCCTCCTTCCACCCACTCTCCTACAACAGCAGCAGCAATTCTTTTGAAGACAGACACAGAATTCAACCACACAGCCCATAGCTAAACTGAATATACATAGACACTGGGGAAACATGCTTCTCCCCCTCCCCACTCCCACCATCTTCCTTTACTAGGGTCCCTGAATTAGGATAAAATGAATCCAGAACTCTAAGGAGCTGATCTGCATACCTCAAAGAGAAAACCTTCCTACAAAACAAAACCAACACAGAGAAAGAGAAAACCTTCCTACAAAACAAAACCAACACAGAGAAAGAATCAGATATGGATTAAAAGAGCTGTGTTTATAACCATGGATAAATTATTCATAAATTTTGAAGCTTGGATGACCCAAATAAAAAACAACCTGGTAGCCCCAAATCAAGCTACAAAAAATGTAGCTTCCCCATGTTGTTGTTGTCAAGTGCCGTCCAGTCGATTCTGACCCACAGCGACCCTGTATAGGGTTTCCAAGGAGCAGCTGGTGAGCTTGAACCACCGACCTTGCAGTTCAAAAGACTTTGCAGTCTGACGCATTAGCCCACAGCACCACCCCAGCTTCCCCATAAGTATCATTTTTATCTATAGGAAGTTATACAACTCCAATTAAACTACACATGATGGTACATATTATAGGTTGTTAGGTGCTGTCGAGGCAGTTCCTACTCATAGCGATCCTATGCACAAGAGAGGGAAACACTGGCCAATCTTGCCCCATCCCCACAATTCTTGTTATATTTGAGTCCATTGTTACATCCACTGTGTCTATCAATCTTGTTGGAGATCTTCCTCTTTTTTGTTGACCCTCCACTTTACCAAGCATGATGTCCTTCTCCAGAGACTGATCCCTCCTGACAACATGTCCAAAATACGAGAGACCAAGTCTTACCATCCTCATTCTTAAGCAGTCTTTTGGCTGTTCTCCATCCAAGACAGATTTATTTGTTCTTCTGGCAGTCCATGGTGCAGTCAATATTCAGAATTGGTCAGCCTCTCCTTCTTTCTGCTCC